TAACTTTAGAAAGTGTTCAGTGTTCAGAACAGTTGTGCTCAAGCTTCTTCTCTCTTTAACCCTCCTGCTGCCCTTGGGTCAAAACAACCCACCAGACCTCATTTGACTGAGACCTCATGAGTCATTTTGATTCAAGGGTATCCAGAGGGTAAAGCTCAGATGACGTGACTCAACACAGCAGATAATTTTCACAGAGAAAAATCATGAAGGAGAAGTCTCATATTTATTTGATAACCCAGTCTGTTGCATTCCTTTGAAATCTGATCAGAACCTGAATTAATCCACCTTTACGGTGCTTTTCATTAATATGAGTGCAGCAGTTCAGACTTGTGTTAAATCTGATATGTACTTTATGTGTTAACACAACTGACCCACTCAGATTACCGTCGCAGAACGCCACGTGAAAGCACCGCGAGTGTATTTTTAGATGTGCCACGTATACATTCAGCTGCCGTCTGATTAATTTAAGCAGGGCGTGTCTGAATGGGGTTTATTTTACTGTGTCAGGATGTAAACCTCGCAGTATGAGCCTAAAGTACCATCACGCTGCAGCTGCTCTCCTACCTGTCCAAAGACAGAGTTAACCATTGGACGCAGCTTCCTCTTGTCTCCTCGTGGCAGCCAGAGGTCTTCATGGTCTCCATCGGGGGAGGACAGACTCAGAGTCTTGGCTTTAGGCTTCGGGGGCCTCTTGATGCTAGCTGAACTCCATCGCCTGAACGATTCGATCTTCTTCTTGATGGAACCCTGGAGAAATTTGTCCCAAGAGTCCAAAATTAAATGTTTGCACAAAGATGTTTTACACAAGAGTGTAAATCTGTAGTCATCAATCTCATCCACAAAACTCGTGAAAAATTAAAACAACTGGAAAACAAGAAGAGAGGTGACATTAAGTGGCATGTGCATGCATTTATTTTATTTTAAAGCTACCTAAAGTAACAAAATAATAAATATATAATAAAAGCTGCCAATGTACCAATTTGTATGAGGAATAAATTGAGCAGAATGTATCAGTTAGAAAGTTTATTTAAGAAGAACATAATCTGAAGAACATTGACCTGCCCCACTCTTAGGGATGTCTATTATGTTTCACCGAGTCTTCTTCATTATCTTTACCCCTTCTTCCTTTTTCTGCTTGCGGGGGTCACTGGTGCCCATGTCCAGCTATCACTGGGGCAGGGGACACCCTGGACAAGTCTCCAGTCCATCACAGGGACACATAGAGACAAACGAGACAACCATTCACTCTTTCTCTCTCACCTAGGGACAATTTAGAGTTACCGATCAACCTAACATGCAAGTTTTTGGCTGTGGGAGGAAACCGGAGCACCCGGAGAAAACCCACGCAGCACTTGGAGAACATGCAAACTCCACCCAGAAAGGCCCCCAGGCTGGGATTTGAACCAGGGCGACCTACTCGCTGAGAGGCAGCAGCTCTACCAACTGTTCCACCGTGCTGCCCCATATCTTAGTCAACAACTTTTAAATAATTGATTAGTTTAAATTTATTATGATACTTATTTTTTATCAAACTTAACAGCTAATTGATCCAAGTTTTTTTTAATTCTTATTTAACATCTTTATGCAGTGGCACAAGCAAAATGTTTCAATAAAAGTAAAAACACTGGAACAAATATTTTAGTTTTATGAAATAAAAGTATTGTAACTGTAATAAAACCTAAAGTAAAACGTATGGTAAAAAATAAATATTGCATTCAAAAGTCAGTATCTTCTAACTAACAAATGCTTTTTCATTCCAAATAAAAATAAATACTTTGTATGAACTCTGATACTGAAATACATGTAATAAAATACATTTTTTCATAAATGCTAAACTTCCAAACGCCAAAGCAGCCTTAAAAACTGAGGCTTCACAAACAATATTATTATTATTATTTTTATTATTGTTATTATTATTATGTTTCTTGCTTCAGCCTGTTCAGTGGGATTCTGTCACCTGAGCAAATTTAGCTGGTGACCCCTGGTGTTATTAGACTATATATAATGTGTGTGTGTGTGTATATATATATAT